TATATATATATATATATATATATATATATATATATATATATATATATATATATATATAATATAGCCTTTGGTGAAAAAAATTTCCCTGGAACCTAACCCCCCATTTACATTAATTCTTATGGGGAAATTGGATTCACTTAACATTGTTTTGCTTAAAGTCGCATTTTTCAGGAACATAACTACAACATTTAGCGAGGAGTTCCTGTATAAAGGCTATATTTAGTTGCAAATCAACATGTTTTAATGGTTACTGACCAATGAGACTAAATCTTTCTTTAGGCAAGTAACTAAAATGTAGAAATGCAAAACATGATTAACTTTGATTATTTAAATCAAGGTTTCCTGCTTGCTGATTTAAATCATAATTAAAATTGGTGATTTAAATCAATCCATCGTGAACTAATGTCTTCAGCACTGTTGACTATAAAATGGCTGGACAGATTGTCCTAAAGATGATTAGTCCTTGTCTATGTGGGTTCTTATTATAGATTCTTAGATTTCAAGAGCAGAAGGGACCGTTAGTTCATGTAGTTTGACCTGCTTAACACAGGTGAGAGAATTTCATCCAGTTACTTCTGTACTGAGCCCAACAATTTTTGTTTGGCTAAAGCAGATCTTCTAGAAGGGCATCCAGTTTTGATCTGAAAACCTGAAGAGCTGGAGAAACCATCCCTTCCCAGTCCTTACAAACTAGAAAGGGGTGGACGGGTGTAGAGGGAGTTGGTTTTTGGACCGATTGGGGTTCTGGGCTTTGATAAGCTTGACTCTAGTAGGCAGGTTTGATTAATCCAGGCAAGTCAGGGGCTATAGTTGAGGAAACAGCTTGGTGTCTGTGCAGTTAACACACACACTTACTTGACCTTTGCCCTGTTGGTATAAATGTCTGTCTTTACATTTACAGCATCAATGAGTTTGAAGAACCTTATTGCTAGGAGCATAGGCACTTGCGGAATCAATCTCCCTCTGACAGGTGCATAAACTCCTGCATTCCACAAAGGGTGGATTTCATTTAAATCATGATTTAAATCACTAGTCTGGAAGACTCAATTTAATCATGGATTTCTACATAAAAGTGTATTCTTGTTGGTTGTTATAACCTTAATACAGATTCTTCACAACTCAGAGATAGATATGGGTTTCATTTTTAGAAGGTACACACTATACATTTTTAAGTGATTTATTTTGGAAACTTTTCAGATGAGTTTTACAGCTATATCAGAAAATGAATGATTGTTTGGTTATTTCATTTACCAAAGGTAATTGAAGCAGATATTTATGAAGTCATTGGGAGGTGAACTATCTCCAGTTCCACAGGTTAATCATTAATATTTGGAGGATTTTCTTGCCATGCTGGATTAGGAGGAGACAGACATTTAAATTTTTATTT